GCTGGGATCTCAATTGGAATTGCATTAAATCTATAGAGCAGTTTTGGAAGTATGGCCATTTTCACTATATTAATCCTTCGTACCCAGGAGCAGGGGATGTCTGTCCATTTTCTGATATCATCTTCAATCTCTCTTTTCAGAGTGAAGCTACTTTTTTATAACTTCCAAAGTGGGAATTTAGGAAATACTCTCAGAAAAGGTAACATTTTATGTCTATATTTAAAATTTTTCCTTTTGAAATCAATATATTAGCTTGAGCTTGTGTGACTTAAAGGGAGAAAAATGGGGCAGGGCAGGAAAGAGAGAGAGGGGAGGAGGAGGGAGAGGGAGAGAGAGAGAGAGTGAGGGAGAAATAAGAGACATTATGGTGCCTAAGGATGGTGTCAGACTCCAAAGGAAAGGGAAAGTTGGCAAATATTCAAACTGTTTATTTCAGGAACTTCAACTTGGGGGACAAAGCATATTTTTCTTTATCCCAGGTTTATCTGGTTTAGACACTTGCAATATTAACTGGAGAATGATCGTTCTCTAAATTCACCTTGAGTGTGTAGAGAAACCACTTCAATCTCCAGGGAGGTAAACAAAGGCAGTTTTATTTTCCTTTGAGTGACTTTTTAAAATGACTTTGTAAAATGATCAAAACAGCCAGGTAGGATGGTGGACACCTCTAATCCCAGCACTCTGGGAGGCTGAGGCAGGAGGACCAAAAGTTTGAGCTTAGCCTAGGCAACTTAGTGAGAACCTGTCTTAAAATTTAAAATTTTTAAAAAGGGCTGGAATGTAGCTCAGTGAAGAAGCCCTGAATTCAATCCCAGTACCACAAAATAAATAAATAAGTAAATACATATCAAAATAATACCTTTTTATATTGTAAAAAATAAAGACTGGGTTCAGAGATAATTGTTTTGCAGTTTGGATCCCCCCCCCACCCCCCGCAACCAGGAATAGAACTCAGGATCTTGCACTTGCCAGGAAGGCACAGCACAACTGAGCTACATCCCCAGCCCTAGACACCTTTTTTCAATCTTTTAATTACTGCATAACCTTAGATTTAGCTGCGATTACTCAATACATACGCAATTCAGCATCTGGCACATTAGGCTACAATACAGACCTATTCTAAGTATTATTAAGTACTTTATAAATATAATCAATAGATTACCTAATAGTTCACTTTCAGGATTACTGTAATGTAATAAATCATTCACCTTTATTGGACATTTATAATGTTTCTAGGCTTTCATTTATAAATAGGACTTTAATAAACATTACTGGCCACAAAGCTTTTTCTGAATTTCAGATATTTACTAAAAAGTTTGCTTGGAAGCAGAAATTCTAGGCCAAGGGATATTGAAATGTCTAAGGTCTTACTATACAGCACTTCTATCATTTCTAATTTACAGTCTATCAGCAGTGTACAAAAGTGTCTTTCTCATGACACTTTCACAATTATTTTCTAATCTTAACACTGATAAGAGAAAAGGGTACCTCAAATACTTATTTAATTTTTCATTACTTCTAAGATTAAAAAGACTTTATATACTATTTACCATGTGCATTTCCTTTTATTATGAAATACACAACTTTTCTTTAGCTGATTTTTATTATTGTTGTTGGAATACTGGAGATTGAACCCAGGACCCTCACACTGAACTACATCTTCAGCCCCAATGCCCCTCCTCTCTTTTAATATTTTGTATTTTGAGACCAAGTCTCACCACGTTACTAAGTTGCCCAGGCTGGACTCAAACTTGCAATCCTCTTGCCTCAGCCTCCTCAAGTGCTGCAATTACACAAGTTTGTCACCATGCCTACCTTTACACTGAAATCTTCACGGTGTGATGGTGCAAACCACCTTTTGCAGTAAAGGACAAACAGTAGAGTTTCTGCTTTATCTTACTCCCACCTGTCTCTACCACTGTGAGGGCAAAGAGGACTGACTTCTTTTTCCTCAAGTTTAATTCCTGGTTTCTTTTTTCTCAAGTTTAACATCACTGGGTAGTCTTTTGAGTTCTATCAAATCACTGAAATGCTTCACTTGGATTCAAATGTTGAATATTTTTAACACTTTTTATGCTTTTTTTGTGTACCTTGGAGGGGACTGGGAATGTACAATAATAGTTTTAATCTCCTAATGCCATTTTAATCCAAAGACTCATTCTCAATACTTTCAATTTGGAAAATGAGATTGAGGGGTAAAAGCTTGTGTCAGGAAAACTGACCATTATTACTTGACTCTTAGTCTCACAGATTTTAGACAGTTATCTTGTCAATGAGCTAGGATCACCAATGCTACATATAATTTGCTTAAGAAGTAGTTAAAGGTTTATTAAGAGATCAGGACTAAGCTGATAGTTTATAACCACATGTTCAATTTTCTCCTTTGTAAAAGGCTTTCTTTATTAAGACATTTTAATACCTCCATCTTTGGAAAGCAAGAGTGAGTTGACAGGTTTAAAAAGAGAAACCCAACCATCCTTAGAGATTTGAGGTTTTCCACTTGCCCCTTAACTTGGCTATCAAGATTCTCATTGGGACCAAAGATAACTTCAAGGTTATGTGTTAAGTGTCTATTACATGCTCAGCTCTTGCTTCGGGGAAGCCAAAAGTCTACCAACCAAAGCAACTTGAGTAACACCTTTCCTCCAAGGACTAAAGGTCCACCACAGACCCTTAGTCTAGCAAGTCAAGCTTGATGTAGGGTAGAGAGTGAGGGATTCTTAACAGAAGAGGATTTAAACTGGCCATAAAAGACAGGCAGGGTTGTGGCAAGAAAGAAGAAATCCTACTCCAACAACAGAAGAAGAAACAAAGGAAAAGAAAAGGATTGGCATTTTGGAAACACACTTGGAAAGTTACACATAGCCAATTATGAAACAGTTACATGTGATCAAAAAAGGAATAGAGTGCCAGTGAATAAAAGTACTCCAGTGAATAAAAAAGTAAAACATGCACTAGCACTGATAAGCTCTTGTTACAGAACTTAATGTGTATGTTTCTACTCAGAGTTCAAGCTAGATTCAATCCTACCCAACAAAGAAACACACAAGCAAAAAGAGCTTTTAAAGAAAACACTCCTTTAAAAAATATTCATTAGAAAATCTCTATTAATTTTGAATTTTCCTGATGATAAAATTTAAAGATTTTCTTCTTTTAAGTACATATACACATAAAAAAAAGCGTATGCTAAGATACTGCAGAAAACGTAGGAATTCATCTTAATTCCTCCTCACCTTCTGCTGAAATCGACCTGGATGGAATGATCAATTACAAGATCAGCAGGACAGATGGGGTTTATTTTCTCAGGATCGCCTCCTAACTTCTTCACGGCATCACGCATTGCAGCAAAGTCAACTACAGCTGGCACACCCCTGAGAAAAGGAGGAGAGAGCGTGGAAAACAAGCCTTAAACACATATAATTGGAATCTGCAACTTCTGCCACCGCTGACAACACTGACCGGGGATCATGTCATCAGAGCAGCTAACAAGTGATGTAAAAGTGAAAGTTACAAGCATATTTCTTTGAGCAACGGAATTGCATAGGTAATAAGTGCTATGACTAAGTGGAATCTCTAAACACAATTTTACCACTATATTAAGTTTAATGACAACTATGGCCTAAGGAGAGAAAATGGAAAAGCTGGCACATTCACCCCTGGGAAGTTTTCCTGCCATGAACGCTTCCCATTCACAAGGTGAGTGGATAAACCCCTGGAGAAGACAGACAGATCACACCTCCAATGCCAGCCTGTTAAAAAGTATATTGTTTTAAAAGTGTAAAATTTGTGATTTTCCTCTGGAAAAATAAAATTATGTCTCTGGAAGGAGTATAATAACATCACTTAAAAATAGATCATGTCTCAGAAAAGAAGCCATGATGGCAGGCAGGGATCCTATGACTAGCAGGATGTGAGCTGAGGCCAAAGAGTAAGGCCTAGTGAAATACATTACCCCCCTCACAGGCTACAGCAGTGTCCAAGTGCAACTGTTTGAAACCTGGTCGCCAGGCAAGTTTCAAGGCCAGTACCACTTCAAGGTATTTTTCTCATGGAGGAATAGGATGCTCAAGACAAAGGACAATGACTTTGGAAAAATGACTGGAAAAGGTGAGGTTGCCTCAAATAATCCAAGTTTACTTTTGCTGCCATAGACAAGAGCCTTCTTTTGCTTTCCAAAGTGTCTGAATATTGGGTGGTAAATTATACAGTCATCACAGAGCATTTTTGCTTGTTAAAAAAAAAAACTTTCTTGAAAGATTGACAAAGAAGGCAGAAGAAAGAGAAGTGACATTAGGCTCACGTAAAATCTTGCAGAATGACACGGGAAGGTTTAAATGGCACTTCTATGTTCTTATGCTGCATGACATTCCAATTTAGAATATTTTCAATGTCATTTTTCTTCACCAAAAACTCATCACAGTTCCGAATGGCTGCCTCCAGGAGAACTCTGATAGAAAACGGTAAGCGTCCTGAGAATAAAGGACAAAGCGTTATAACACAAGCAAAAACATGAGACACCTTATTATAAGAGATTTCCTTAAAGTCAGTATGTATATAAAGTAGATACAAGGCATCAGATTATTCTTCCAACAGGAAAAGAGAGCAAAATAATTGACAGTTTATAATGAATAGGTAGAAGAAACATTCAGCAGCAGAAAATACAGACCAGGTAAAAACAAACTAATACAGTTTATTTTTTTCATATTAAATGGTTGCCTTCCCTTGAATTCCAAGAACAGAAAGTCATCACATCTCACTGTCAATCTAGCTATTCACTGTATTACATTACCAGGTTATATACATACATACATATATATATATATATATATTTTTAAATTAATTTTATTGGTACATTTAAGGTATATAATATAATGACTTTCATCATTGGAAATTTGCATCTTTACATAACCCATCTTAGTTCTTATTTTTTCCCCATTTCCCTGCCCTCCCTTCAACCCCTCCATCCCTCCCTATTTACAAAGACTTTGTTTCCATTTTTTCTTTTTCTCATATTAATTCCATTCCCTTCTTTCTTTTTCCCTACCCCTCCCACTTCCCCTTTCCCTTTACACCTTTTCTTCCTATTTCACATTATCTATATCTATACCTTTTAGTCCTTATTTACACTTTCAGTTTCTCACACTAGAGAAACTATTCAGTATTTACACGTGTCCTATTTATTTCACTTAAAAGTACTGCCTCAGTGTGCATCCATTTAGCTATAAATGTCTCTAGTTTCTTGTTCTTTATGGCTGAGTAATACTCCATTTTATAAAAAACCACATTTTCTTTATCTAGTCTCCAGTTGATGGGCAATTGGGTTGTTTCCAAGTTTTAGCTATTACAAACTGTGCTGCTATGAACATGGGTAGACATATATCACTGTGGTATGATTCTTTTAATTCTTTGGGGAAGATACCCAGCAGGGAAATAGCTGGGTCAAATGGGACCTCCAGTCCTAGTTCTTTGAGGTATCTCCATACTGATTTCCACAGTGATTGTACCAGTCTACACTCCCACCAGTAGTGGAGTAAGGTTACTCTTTCCCCACAGGGTAATACATATTTTTATAAATATAAGCACATAAAGTAATATTTCCTACGAAAACTAATGCTTAAAAAATGAGAAAGTAACTTTTACAATTATTGTAATTAAGCCCACAGGCACACACATATATCCAAGGAAATAAAATCCTAAACATCAAGTAGCATGGCCACATAGTAGCTAGTTTCTAAGATAAAGCAATGATAATTCAGAAGAAAGTCTACTTTGTTTAATTACAAAATAGAACTTTCACCTTTATATGAAAATTCCTTACCAATATTATTTAGAAAAGACACTAACGGTAGAATACATACAGGAATAAATAAGCCTTCTATTCTTGTCCTCTTCTGCTGCCCACATTCATGTTATTTGAGCATGTGTTACTCTCTCTCTGGGACTCAACATCCTGAAGACTTCTTTTATCTTACAAACATGACCCCTATGGTTATTCACATAAAATACGTATGTACAAACACTTCATATTCTATGATGTGTTATATAAATGTTCATGTACATTATCATCATTAACTACTTAAAAACAAGTATAATAAAGGGGTGGTGTGTGGGTGTGTGTGGTGCATATGGTGAGTGTGTGCACTTATTCAAGAACATTCACCTATTCTTTGTTACTCCCTCTTCCAGCTCTCCTAAAGGCTAATTAACCACATAGCTGAATTATTATGCAATTGGAATCTAATATGAACTGTTATCAAAGCAATTACATCACAGAGTCATACACTTACCATATCTTGAATCCTCCAATTTATTTAAATTAAAGAATTTCTTTCCTGGTTGTGCAGGATCCAAGGGCTCAGCCAGATGTGCAAATGGGTTCTTCATATTTCCGATGGTCACGTGTCCTTGTGTCCCTGAAAAAGAAGAGAACACTTAAGTTTTACTTTGGAGATTGGGCCTACTTTAACAACGCCTCACATGTAATTTAAAAAAATCACTTGTTATCTCTTCAAAATAGGGGGTAGTGGGACTTAAATACAATAATGATATTCTTAGCCAATGAAATAGACTTCTGTGAAGCTACAGTGAAAGCCAGCATTCCTCTCAAGACAGCACATAATCTCAAATTTCTTTTGTCTTCTTTCTACAATTCCCCAACATTCTTCCATGGATAAGACAAAGTAAAAAGAAATGAAAGATGCTCTCACAATAAATTTTGAATATATGAACAGACTTCTGAGCTGGACTCATGTCCTGCTTAGAAGGAGATAAGAATCCATTCCAAGGAACATTATAAAATTATATAAAACTTGAACTTCCAAAGTGGGGACTCAAGAGTAGCCATTTTCTGTCCTGTATGTTTTTCTATTTTAACAATCTCTGCAGCACTTTTAATAACGTGAACATCATTCTTTAAACCCTTCCTGATTTACTTTTGCCTACTGTAGTAACAGTACGTTGCCATCAAGAAATCTTTGAAATATTCTATGATGGAATAAAGGCCAAGACACCCCATATATTTTTGTAGGGGGCCCTGTAACTTAGCTGTAGGTAGGACTTCTCAGATAACATTTTACAAACTACCGGTGGTGAACAAGGCAAGACACTGTTTCTGGCCCCCAACACACAAAGGGTGACTTAAACTACACAACTTAGCGCAAAGCACTCTGGAGTGGCAGTCAGAAGATTTGCTTTCTGGTCCTACCTCTTGGTCAAAATACCTTTACTCCTTAATATTCTTAATTTGAAGATAAGAATATTTAATTTTTCTTTGCTTGTATGAGTAAATATTATTTGGATATCCAATATATTTATGGAATGACCAATATGGAAGGATTATTATATTACTATAAAGTGAAAAAATACCATGTATAGGAAAGGACTATTAGTGAGGATGAAAAGTTACAAATGTGCCAGTCCCTACAGAGAGCTCCCAATCTTCATTAAGGATACAAAAGGGACTGGTTTCCTTAAGAGGGACAGGGCCTATAAGTCAGGGCTGGGAAAAAGACTGAGGTTTTACTGTATACCTTTTAGTATCATCTGCATTTTAACTATGAACATCATCATTTTTTTAAAAAAGAAGAAAAGTCATTAAAATTGTAAAAGGCATGTGTATTTGCACATCTCTGTCCAAAGTTTAGAACAGGCTGAGTATCTATAATACAAAAATCTGCTCCAAAATGACTGAAAATCCAAACTTTTTGAGAGCCAACATGACACCATAAGTGCAAAATTTCACACCTAACTTCATGTGATACTCTGCAATCAAAACACAGGTGCACTAAAAACACTGTATGAAATTACACTTAGGTCATGTGCATAAGGCATATATAAAATATAAGTGAACTTCATGTTGACACTTGGGTTTCATCCCCAAGATATTTCATTATGCATAACCAAATATTCCAAAATAACCTAAAATTTGAAATGCTTCTGGTCTCGAGCATTTCAATAAACGGTATTCAGGCAGGGGATTTAGCTCAGTGGTTCTGGCGCCTGCCTCATAAGTGCAAGGTCCTGAGTTTGATCCCTGGTACCAAAAAAAAAAAAATGGTATTCAGCCTGTATTTGGTAGTTTAGGGAGAAGCAGTCTTTGTCTTCCTGGAGTTACCACTACAGCAGGCAACAGAATGCAACACAGGTACCTGTAACAGGCATGAGACAACACAGAGTTGAAGAAAATGGGGTTCTATTCAGCACTCCTTTCCTTGGAATGTCTCTCCCCTTATTTTACATGGTGTTTGCAGCAGCTGCCACTTGGCAGGAGAGGAAAGGTACCTGCCCCATCTGGGACAATCAATTTCTTTCTCTAGGAGTTATGGAAAGGAAACTCAATGAAGAAAAGCTGGTAAGGGATACTGGAACATTCAGAACTGTTTATAAAAATGCGTGCCCTAGGCCAGCTGCAGGAAAAATACAGATTCCTAATGAGAACAGATAGGAGGAGGGTCCGGAATCACGATGCCCTTTAACCTCTCAGGTGATTGTAGCACACACTCTGAGAACCACTGCTGGATGCTGCAAAATGCCAGGTGAGGAACCTAACTCAATTCTAGAAGCAGCAGGCCAGCACCCTTGATACACAGTAAGGAAAGGGTACATTCCAAAATGAGAGTGACAACCAAAATGCCTCCAACTAAGTGACACGGGCTGCGCAGGGATGGCAGCCTTAGGTTTTGAGGTGAGATGCTACGTAAGACAAAGTGCCACATAAATGCAAGAAATTTGTCAGTAATTCCCTCTTGCTGAGAAGCCAGCCAGAAGGGTAAAACACACACACACAAACAACAAAAAAACAAAAACCCTACCAATACTCTAACAATAAACATACCAGCTTGTCAGCAGAAGTTTATAAATCTGTGGGCTCAGAAAATGAAACTAATAATTCTACTGAATGGAAATGTGAAGATGTAGATTTTAAAAGGCCATATTGCTACTCTATCACCTGTGCCACAGTCCACAGGGCTTAACTTTTCTACCACAACCAGTAGCAACTCCAACAGTAAAATTACTGTTTTGGCACTGGGAAAAGTGGATCAACAGAAGGTCACCTCTACAGAGGCAATGGGATATTTCAGAATCTCTGTGCCCATATGAAGTGGTAGGAAGTGCTGGCAGCACTGAGCAAAATAAGTAATCCATCTCTTCAGATAGCTGTTAAGTTTCTGAACCATCTCTAACTCTGTGAGAAATCCCAAAGGGGCCAAGTCCTGCTAAAATTCTACCACTAAACAAGTTGCTAAATTGTACCCAAATGTGCCATCACATTGATTTATTTTCCCCTCAGATTAGCAATGCCCAGGGAATAACCCTAGAAGTCTTACATGATTCTTCTTATCTCCCTATGTCATCTCAGGATGGATACAGACCAATATTGCTCTTACAGAAAGTAGCTTGTGTACAGAGCATTTGTGTCTGCCTCACATTTTCCTTAGAAACTAGATAGCCGATTGGTTTCATTATAGGCAAGAAACAAATTCTACTTGCAAGAATTAGGGGAAGGAGGAAGCAATTAGTTCTTTGACAGTTAACTAAGTTCAAGAATTTGCCAAGTGCTTTTTACTCCATCTTTTCAATCCTGGCAATAATATCTCCAAAAAGCAAAGCCTGTCATTATTTTTATTTTACAGCTATGGAAACTGCAGCTCTGAGGGAAGGAAAAACTTGCCGAAGGGCACACATCTAGTAAGTGGCAAAGCTAGGTTTTGAACCCTAGCTCTTTTAATAGCCCCACATTGCCTCTCTAAAACTTCTGCTCTGAGGTGATCCTGGCTAGAGGTTACCTACTTGTTCCCAGGGTTGAAGACTGCCACAAGAAGTCCTCCAACAAGAGTCAGGTTTCAAGGCTGGAGCTATTGTTACTTCTTTCCTAGGGTCCTCCAGCATCTAGTCTGAACCAGGGATTGCACATGTCCCTTGGCCTTCTTTACTGGGCCACAGGTCAACAGAAAGTAACAGCAGCTGTTTTATAGTAACTAAAAACTGGTTTGCTAGCAACAGCCCTCTATGTAAATGTAAAGGATTCTGGCATTCACAGCAACTCCAAAGTTCCACCCATGATATTACTCTTGTCCCAAATCTCCTTACAGTAGGTCTTGTGCTTCAGTGACTCCACAAGGAAGCCCAAAACAACCATGTTTCAGGAATGGAGTGAGGAGAAAGATCTTTTTGGCAAGGCAACAACTCCAGATTCAGAGCAGAATCTAGGCATTGTCTTGGTCCCTGGCCAGAATTCCACCCAGCCCTGATCCTCAAGTATTAACAATGTCCCCGCACATTACAAAACTACCCCCCAAGACCTGGGGCTTTGCCTAGGAACACTATCAACTGGCTAGAGAGCTTTACTTACTTTTCATACCCACATAAAGCATGGACCTCACTATTTTTATTCCTTTCTTCCTTATCACTCTAGGTTTAGTTCTTGCCTCTTTTCTATTTTATCTAAACTCCATTCAATAATAAAAGAGGAAATGAAACTGGAGAATAAACTGGCTTTGGGGGAGTTGATAGCTTAGTTTTTTCTTTTTTGGGAGGGGGAAGTTAGCATATGTCTTACCTTCTTTTTTGCTGGGACAAAATACCCAACATTCACAACTGAAAAGAAGAGAGGTTTATTTTGGTTCATGTTTTAGAAGCTTCAGTCCTTGCATGGTCCTGGGCACGGTGGGAGGGCCTGGCAGAGGGAAGCTGCTCACATCAGGGCAGCCAGGAAGCAGAGAGAAGGGAAGAGCTAGGTAGGGAGATACACCCTCCCAGGACATGCTCCTACTAACTGCTTCTTTGAACCGGGCTCACCTCCCTGCCTCCATATTTCAATCACCTTCTGATCACATGAGGCTCTGGGGACCATTTTCTATCTAAACCATAACAGCATATGTCCACAATATGTTCTACTTGCTGCCCTTTCTACTCCACAGAATGAAATCAGACTGTATAGAGACAGGGGGAGAAAAAGAGAGAAAGAAAGAGAAGAGAGAATGACTAGTGGGAAAAAAATTTTTTTTTGTACCAGGGATCAAACTCAGGACCTTGCGCTTGTGAGGCAGGTGGCAGAACCACTGAGCTAAATCCCCCGCCGATGATCAGTGATAATTTTTAAGCAGTGGAGTTTGAGTAATCTTTCAGAACTTATGTGGTTCTTGGATGTTTATCAGAATGCTCAGGGCTGCTGAACACTTATCCCTGGCCACTAAATCAATTAAGACTTGTGAAGAGTTGTCATACAAAAGAAATAAAAAGAGACAGCCACATTGTGTCTAAAACCCTTCACTATATCTACACCACAGTGTCTCTACAAAAAGAGAAAATTGGTATCTTCTGCAACAACCTTTGAAAGGAGACAGAACAGTTCATAAAGTTCCTGGAACTACAATATATGGGGCTTTCTTTAATAATGTCTGATGGAGATTTA